GATTGATACTGTAGAAATGCATTGGAAGCAGCAAGGTTGAGGCAATGATCTGGAGCTCTTATCTCGGACGCTGTGGGTGCAGAATCCTAGGAGTGATGAGGTATATGAGTTATTCAAGAAATCAAACCAAAAGGATCTGGGAGCCAGTAGAGCTTGAGTCATCAACAAATCTGGAGAAATGATCAAGGATCAGGTTATTTTTTTATTATTTTTTTTTGTTTTTTTGTGGTACACGGGCCTCTCACCACCGTGGCCTCTCCCGTTGCGGAGCACAGGCTCCGGACGCGCAGGCTCAGCGGCCATGGCTCACGGGCCCAGCCGCTCCGCGGCATGTGGGATCTTCCCGGACCGGGGCACGAACCCGTGTCCCCTGCATCGGCAGGCGGACTCTCAACCACTGCGCCACCAGGGAAGCCCCAAGGATGAGGTTTTGAACCAAAAAGAATCTAAAGTTGGCTCAAAGGGGGTTTGGTTCCAGACTGGCTGTTGCCAAATTTTCATCATCATGAAACACGTTTACCAATTTCTTCACCTTTTCATTGGCGTTGTGTAATAAACAAACTGTTTATCACTTTGTATTTTGTTTCCAGAATATAACTGGTTTTAGTTTTATGAATCCATATAATTTCAACTAAAGTACTTTAAGACACCTGTGCAGCCTCATTCTAAATCATTCTGTGGGGATAGAATATACTTTATGAAAACAGCGCAGGGAATCCCACTAATAACATCATGGGCCCCAGGTTTGGAAACCTATGCTGTAGAAATCATGGGTCCTTCATAAGCGTGTTCGATTTATTCTACTGACATTGGAGATAGCTCTGTGTGATACTGAGCTAATGATGAGATACCATGGAAGCAGCAACAGTTATGACTCGTGTCATTTTTAAGTAGAATGAAAACTAAAAACAGACACAATTTCAATTAGCTTTGCCTATCACGCCTGCAGAGTTTGAATGTATACCCCCCTTCCCTTTCATCCTATCCTTTAGAATCTGTGCCCTTCTGTTAAGTCATAAATGGTTTTCCAGTAAGAAAACTTCCCTTTCACCTTGTAATAAACACACCCAGGGAGTAATTTCCTGTAAACATCCAAGAATATAGATGTGCATTTATTGGCCTGTTTTTCACATTTCTACCCCCGCTGTAATTCTCATTACACAGATTTCTGTTTGGGCTCATTTGTGTGACCTAAAGTAAATCCTGTCTACTCTCGTTGAAACAATCTCATTTAAACATTTGCTTTTACTGCATTAAATTAAATACTGTGTGTACGAATACACACACGCACTCTCTCTCTCAAATACACACGCACATATATGTGTGTATGTATATATATGTGTGTATGTGTGTGTGTGTGTGTGCATATATGTCTGCACACATATATATACAAATATGAGGGAGGGATTCTGATATAATAAAGGCTACTGATTTGGTGTATTTTGCAAATGCTCCTGCTACTGCAAAGAAACCAAATAATCAAAATAGGTCATTATGCAAATGTATACATATATATGCACGCATACATAGAATTCTTTTAGAAATATAGTTGAGACCCTAGATTAATTTTGCGAATTACAGGTGAATACACACCCTGAAAACATGAAAGATATTTTTCTATATTCACTTAGTAATTATTGTCTGTGTAATGGCCATCAAAAAAATGCCTACTGTGCTTACGTAATGAATTATTTCCTAAGAGATAAAGTCCTTTGTGGCATTAAAGTCATGTTAAAAGGAACCAAAATCCAGCCACATCTGACCCCTCTGGGTTTCTTACTGTTGACCTGAAGTGGACAGAAAACCATGTGGCCCGGAATCATTCTCCTAACCCCTGCAATTCAAATGAACGAGAACCATTTAGATCATGATTAGCTGTGTTAAAACCCTGAAACTTTCTATTCTAGAGTAATATTAAGACCAAATACAGCGCACGTTATATTCATTTCATTCAACCTGCAGGTGGGAAATGGGATTTGGGGTTTTTAAGCATCTTTTCCATGAACCAAGTTTTAAAATAACCGCACAGCCACTCAGCATATCCCGTGTATTTGTGTGTGTATTTTGTTCCTTCCACTACCTTGAATGAAACTCAGCATCAATCTAGTCATTAATCTGTGTGAGTTCAAATGGTCTCCTTTGTGCGTCTCTTTCGTTGTTCAGTTGTGTGTGGGGAGTGGTAACGGCTTACTGCTTTGCAAGCTTCAGTTCAGAGACAGTAAATCTCAAAAACCAATGTTTCATCAGCTGAAATGCTGAGAGGATTTGGGGTCCAAGAATGTTTGTCCATGAAAGGAGCTGTTTGTTTAAAATCACTGGCGTTAGCCAGTCAAAGAAGGTTATCTGCTCATCTGGGAAACTGACTTCTGCGAATGCTCGATGTTTGGTAATGTGTGTGTTTGTTTCCCAGTTGATGCGCTGCTCTCATGTTGTTGTTCATACAGTCCCACGCTAGGAAACCCACACACATCCTCTGTCTGGGTTATATCGAACACCGTGTTTTGACAGTCAGAATCGGAAAGGAATATGCTGTCATAGGGAACATAAAATGACTTGCATTCATTCTGTCCCTGCAGTGGGGACTCTGACCTGCTTATCATTTCAATTTTAAAAAAGAACCAAAAAAAAAAAAGCAATCCCTGGATGTTGCAATAAATGAAGATTCCACGGCAGACGCTATGGAAACACCAGCTTCCAAAAAAACCCACGTTCCTTTGCTCAAGTTCAGAGACACGTGGAGAGCTGTTTCCCTCAGGACTTTTGAAAGGCGAGCAGAATTGCCAAGATCAAGGCTTTCCATGGGGCTGCTCTTAGGAGAAGTCAGATTTGCCAGGGTACGGAAGATTAGTGAGCCCACCGTTGGAGAGGTTTTACAAGTCATGTATTCCTGGGGACGGAGGGGCTCTGATTTCATAAAGCCTCGCGATTTACCATCTGTTGCAAATCCTCCCCATGAACAGTAAGCGACTAGGTCATTCCGTGAGAGCAGAGAGTAGGAGGGAGGTGGGCAGAGGAGGGATGAGTTAAAAACAGAACAGTTCTGCCAGAAAATTCCTGGAGCCTTTAGAAATGAACCACCTCTTTCCTGAACGCGGGAAGAGAGGCTTGTCTTATGGTTCTTACACGGCACCCAGGCTGCCATTATAAGCCCGTTCCGTCCATAAAGTTGGGTGAAAGAGGCTTTTCTCCCAAGCAGGGCGTGATTCATTTTATGAGAAAGCACGTTAAAACGTAAAAGGGATGAATGTGGAGGCCCCATAACATTCACGGGCATGAAACACTAATTAGTAATTGCTAATTAAACAAGGAGGACCTGGAAACATCTGAACCCCCCCTCTCATCCTAGCTAATCTCACATCCATCCCCAGGAACCTAAGAGGGCAGTGGGTTTGTGCGATGTGCCCTAAATGTACAACCTGGCAGTTGTCATCTTGCATCTACCTGTAGGGCTAGGCCATCGTGAGTCCCGGTTATTGTGATTTTAGCATAACAGCAACAATAACCCTTCTGGCTGCTTTCTTTTGAACCAGACCATTTCTAATCCCCTCCTGGCTCCCATCCCCCATTTCCCACAGGTACTCCGGCAGGCTGTGGAAGGGAAGCCTCATTCTCCTCAGTAGGTGTAAGATCTCATCCTTTATGATTTTGTTTTAGGTTTTGAGAAGCTGGTACTCCGAGGGCCTCTTGGATTGCTGTCAGCTTTGCTTAGGAATGTGTTCGAAGGCATTGGTTCTCGTTTCTGTTACTTTAGGGCTTGGATCAGTCTGTCTTCATAGAAACACTGCGGCTGCTTTCTATGGTTATTGAATAAGCATTCGTTGAAATGGGTGAACGTCATGACCCTTGGAATAAAGAAATGGTGCAGAAAGGAAAAATATCATAATTGGGGATCTGGTGTAGGGGCGAGTAAGAATGGGAAGTGGGGAAAAAAAAAAAAACAACCCAACGTTTTATGACTTTTTTTCCCCCAGAAGGCTTATTCAAGACAGATTTGGACATAAAGTTGGATTAAAGTTTGTGCAAGTATTTAAGCTTGGAGGATGCTTTATAAAATATTCATAGTTTTGAATCTGAGTGGGAGAGTGTCTCTTCCCCACAAATGCCTTCAAACATCAGAGGAAAACAGAGTTTCCAGGTCAAGATCTTTTTGCAGTGTGAGAGGAACAGGGAATGAGATAGATCTCGAAAACTGATCACTTTGCCACAATTAAATGCCCGTATTGCCTTATTTGCAGCTTTTAAAAAAGGAAGAATTTAGAATCTGATGCCTTGAGTGAAATCTAATTGCTTAATTTACAGAATCCTCCTATTTTTTAAAATAAAATGTACCAGCCCATGCTATTCTGGGGACAGTTGGGGAGATTTGAATATGCACTGACTTTTGGCTGAGATTAAAGAATTATAAGTTTCTGCATGTAACTGTGATATCTTCCTTATATAGAAAAATAGAGATGCATCCTAAACTATTTAAGTGTGGCATGACATGATGGCTATAATTTACTTTGAAATTTAAGCATTAAAAGGAGTTAAATGAAAATATTAATGAGGAATTCAATGGGGAAAAGCAAACCTATACTGGTTTTATATACGGTGCACACAGTCTTACTGAAAAACTTCTTTTAGGAGCCTTTTTTGTTTTCCCAAGGAAAACCAACATGTACACAGGAGTGATAGCTTAAATCTAGTAAAGTGTATAGGTTTCTGATATTGTCGTGTATTGTAAATATTTTAGATTCATTTCGCCTTATATGTTAACCCCATACAAACCCCCAGATGAGACACTTTATTATAGTGTCAGAAGAAACAAAAACCATTGTAACTCTTATTTACATAATATACTCCTTTCTGCCATGGAAAAGGTGCTACACTGTTGCTTCTCATTTATAGGAAGGAAAAGTAAAGAATGAACAAAGTAAACTGTGGAATGTCTTTCCAGATAGCAGCGATGTTGACGTATATTTCGTAGGTGACAACCCCAAATATCCTGTGTTCTTTCGCAGGGTTTTTAAGTACCGGCGACCAGGCGGCCAAAGGCAACTACGGGCTCCTGGATCAGATCCAAGCATTACGTTGGATTGAGGAGAATGTCGGGGCCTTCGGTGGGGATCCCAAGAGAGTGACCATCTTCGGCTCCGGCGCGGGTGCTTCTTGTGTCAGCCTCTTGACCTTGTCTCACTATTCAGAAGGTAATAAAAGCATCCCCACAGTGCGCAGGGAACCCTGGGACCCAGAAATGAACCCGTATTGAGTTGTTATCCAAGGCGCATGCAGGGTGGCCATAGTCTCTATTGAAACCTCCACAGAAAATCCCCCCAATGACATGCATGCACATCCCCTTCTCTTAACTCAGCTTGCTTTCTGATTTTTTAAATTGAGGTATGATTGACATACACCATTAGATTAGCTTCAGGTGTACAACATAACGATTCGCTAATGGTATACAGTGCAAAACAATCACCACAGGACGTCCAGTTAACACCTGTCACCATTTAGTTACAAACTTTTTTCCTTCTGATGAGAATTTTAAGATCTCCTCTCCTAGCCACTTTTAAGTACGCAATACAGTATTATTAACTATGCTAACGATATATTTTTCTCACTTAGACTCATGGCAAAGAGCGTTGCTTACAATATTTGGAGGAAAATGACTTCTTTAGAAAATGCCTACACCGTGCTTTTGCCTGTCTGAGTTTATTTGGACAACTTTAAATTTTATTAACTACAATTTTCATCTTGGGAGAAGAAACACGAAAGGGAATCAGTATGTGGACGATGGTTACAGATTTTTAGATTTCGTGATAAACAAAGCTTGTAGCCATATGGTTATAAAGCCACGTCTTTGATGCAAACTAATTCAGGTTGATTCCCTCTGGTCCATTGGTGATGGAGGTTCCCAGCAATATCAGATGAGAGATTTTTAAGAGAAAAATCAACAGAAATTGGGTGCAGTGGGCCTGGAGGCACCTTAATAACTTCCTGGCTCTCCCTTCAAAAATAGAACAAAAATAAAAACAAAACAAGAAAATGCAACCCTGGGGCACTTTGGCAAGTACAAGTGAATATTCATAATAACGGTCTAAATCATCAAGGTCGTGTTATGTTCCCTTCTGTGTCATTGGTTGGTTTAAGGATTTACCACATCTATTTGAACCATGTTTATGAAAAGCACCTGAAACTTTAAAGGAATTATTTTTCTTTAAAGAGTCTTATATTATCTTTCTTTAAAGTACCCTAAACATGTTAAAAAAAAAAAGGGGGGGAAGTATCATCGTGCCATATGACAGCATCCCATTTTTTTCCTCTCTTCCTACACTATCGTGGAGAAGTTGCTGACTCTTTCTGTGCCCTGATTGCTTCATTAGCAAGATATGATTGACGATGATTTTTAAGTCTTGTGAAGCCTGAATTTCTTGATTCTTTATTTCATAATGGCTGAGGAGAGGTAGAATGAAAAGCTTATGTTTGTATTAACCCTTTATTAAAAAAGGAAACAGCGAGTAAATTAGATCATTAGTGATAACGGTTCCTATACCGTTTCAGAAAATACCTGTATTTTCCCATTTCGCAATGGATATTATCATGATTCTCCATTTACAAAATAGTCAGGACCAACTCTAGTAGTAATCAAACACATGTCAGCTAAAACTAATGGGGGAAGAGTGTTAATTCCTTAAATCAGTAGATCAGAAACGAATATGGTAATGCTTTACATCATTTCTGCAAAGTAGCTCTCTAAAATCAACCCAGCAATAGAATCAAGAATTAATGAACATACCCAGACTGTTGGCCTTAGGAATTTCACTTGTCATGATATAACTTAATGAAGTCAACATACACATGGGCAAAAGGTGTTTTCATGGAGTTTTCTACCACAGCATTCTCATAGCAAAGAATGAAAGGAAAAGCTACAAGACCAGAAAGACAAGAACATTGTTAATGACACGTGCATTTACTCGAAGGAACAATAATTTAAGAATTGTGCTTAAGATATGCATTAACCTGGGAGGCATGATATGAAGAGCTCATTCAGCAAACCATCACCTTGGCCGGGTACCACATTCCCTTTTGACCCTGTCATGGACAGGGATGCCATTCCAAGCAACTCTCAGATCCTGATGGAGCAGGGGGGAGTTCCTTAATTATGACATCAGTATACTATGCAGATATGGGATACAGTTATACACAACAGACCAAAGGGAGGGAAAGCACCAAGAAGGAATGACACTAAAAATATTAAAGTACCTCCTATTTTATAGTATGAATTATAGGTGACTTTTTCTTTAATTTTTCAAGTTTTATCCCACGTTGTATTACTTGCCTACCAAAACATACATACACACACACACACATGCACTCACGCACGCACACACACACACACACACACACATACATGGCTACCTCAATCACGGCCAACAGTTATGACACAGAGAGAAAATGTGTAACTTCCAGCAACATTTTTCTAATTCTGGTTGTCTTCATTTATGAATCTTTTAATAGATCCAATATGGACATCATTTCCTTAAGGTGCTTTAAAACATTCACCTTGAGAGCCAGACACACAAGTCAGTACTCGCACATTTCCAACGGAATGGTAAACATTGGGAAATTGACCCCAAACTAGCTAGACGTTGTGTCGGGCAAAGCCAGATCGTTTTAAGCAGCTCATTCTTGTGTGTCATCGGCAGGCAATCCTCTAGTCTTTAGAATCACATCCTCCTGATTGCAGTCATGTTTCCTTCATCCCTGATTGCTTGTATGGCCTTAAACATCGACAGGGCACGGATTTCTGGACTCCCCACTGAATGCTTTTATTCTCCCAGTGACTTACGAGGCGTCAGAGCTAGATCATGCTGGAGTTCAAGGAAGCAGCAGGAAGAGATAGGAATAGAACACCATTATCTTATGGCCTTCCGTCTCATACTGGAGCAGTTAAAAATAGACTTTTATTTACTTCTGGACATCCACATACTAGACTGATCAGATAGGAAATTTTAAGCTACACAGAATTTTACTCATAAAACAGCCCAAGATTTTCCCAGTTTCTCACCAAGCAGACACGTTTAAAATGTGGCAGAACGAACTGTACAAAAATCTGGGCTTTGAGTGGATGCAACTTTGAAATTAATGATTTTTTTTGGAAAAAAAGATACATTTTAGCGGGGCATTCAAGGGAAGATTTCTTTAGGAATAGCTATAATGAATTCATTTTAATTGCATGTTTTTAGCACCTTCGGTATATGGAGCGTGGAAATAAAAATGCATTCCAGAATTTATACTCTGAAACTGATTTCAGTGGATGTTCCCCCTCTAATAAAGTGGTACCTGGTTTTGCCAGTAAGAGAAAACAGCCTTTGACCTCTTATGGCCACAAAGCATATTTTTAGAGGCTGGGGGGTTGTGATTACTCTGAGACTCTTTATTTACGAATTCTGGGGATGGAGACACTAATATTACACAAAATTGGGGAAGGAGAAAGAGGTTGTATGTTTTTAGCACTGCAGCTAAAGTGTAAACGCAGTTTCGTTTTCTAAACTCTGTGTGTGTGTGTGTGTGTGTGTGTGTGTGTCTGAGAGCATCCTATAAGACCACTGTCCAGCAGGTGGGGGAGGGGGAAGACGAGATAGAAATGAGAGAAAGAGATGCCGAATGCGCTGAATGCTGCAGTATCCAGAAATTCACATGCCCGAGAGACAATCAGAGCCTTCTTTGCTGAGTAAAAGCTGCTTTTCTGTCTTGCGGGTTTTCATTTGCATGTCCACAATTTTGCACCTGCAGGTCTCTTCCAGAAGGCCATCATCCAGAGCGGGACCGCCCTGTCCAGCTGGGCCGTGAACTACCAGCCTGCCAAGTACACTCGGATATTGGCAGATAAAGTCGGCTGCAACATGCTGGATACCACGGATATGGTGGAATGCCTTCGGAATAAGAACTACAAAGAGCTCATTCAGCAGACCATCACCCCGGCCACGTACCACATCTCCTTCGGGCCCGTCATTGACGGGGATGTCATCCCCGACGACCCTCAGATCCTGATGGAGCAGGGGGAATTCCTTAACTATGACATCATGCTCGGGGTCAACCAGGGGGAGGGGCTGAAGTTCGTGGACGGCGTCGTGGATAACGAGGATGGTGTGACGCCCAACGATTTTGACTTCTTGGTGTCCAACTTCGTGGACAACCTTTACGGCTACCCGGAGGGGAAGGACACCTTGCGGGAGACCATCAAGTTCATGTACACGGACTGGGCAGATAAGGAGAACCCCGAAACACGGCGGAAAACCTTGGTGGCTCTGTTCACTGACCACCAGTGGGTGGCCCCCGCCGTGGCCACCGCAGACCTGCACGCACAGTACGGCTCACCCACCTACTTCTACGCCTTCTACCACCACTGCCAAAGCGAGATGAAGCCCAGCTGGGCGGACTCAGCCCATGGCGACGAAGTCCCCTATGTCTTCGGGATCCCCATGATTGGCCCTACCGAGCTCTTCAGCTGCAACTTCTCCAAGAATGATGTCATGCTCAGCGCGGTGGTCATGACGTACTGGACAAACTTCGCCAAAACCGGGTATGTTCTTCTCCCCATCAGGGGATTGTTTGTCTGGTTCCTCCATGTAAGTGTGGTTTCCACGAGTGGCTAGACTGCGGTGTGCAGGCATCCACACACAGTAACAAAAGCAGTCATTTTTCCCCCCAACATCTAGGGAGACCTCATTTCTTCTTTACCCCTGAATTGTTTTCTGTCAAGTCAGATTTTCGCTAAGGTGCTAGATGCATATTGAAAATTCTACACTTGCTACTGGGGTCAGACTTAGATATATTTGGCTATTCTATGGGAAACTGATCCTGGAGTTTCAAATCTAGGTAGGACCTTGTCTTGTTTGGTAAATAATAGGGTTATCAAAATACATGTGCCACATGGAATGCATAGCCAAGGAATGAAATAAATCTCATAATAAATATATAGAAATACTGTATGTGTATATAATATATATATTATATATGTATATGCACATGTAATAACTCCTAATCTCATAACTGTAGAGAAATCCCGTATGTGTGTGTATGTAAGATATATATATGCATATGTGTCTATGTACATGCATAGGATTTCTCCGTTGTTGTGAGATTTATTTTCTATATATACATATGCACACAAAATATATTTATTTTGTTTATATATAAATATTTACACGTCTTTATTTCATTAATATAAATTTCATACGTGTGTATATTTAGCTGTATATCTATCTATAGACACATATAGAAATCTCATTGGCTAAATAAAGTAGGAAGTATACAAGCGTTACATATACAACAGGGTCCACCCATATTCCACTGAGCAGATTCTCTGCAAATAACGAAAGAAAAGACTCCCCAGCATCTTAAGGAGCTACAAATATCAGAGCATCTTTTCATTTGCTCTTGTCGAATAACCTAATTGCGGAAATTAATGAGGTATCATTCTGTTCTACCTGCCTGCGCTTCTGTCATTAACCTTGAGCTTCTCGTACCGAATTTACAGTGAAGGTCCTCCCGGCTCTGGAGGATGGAGAATCTTCCTGTGGGCCGCTGGGGGGTGGAATTAGGCCCCATACTGCAGCAGCCCTGCAGTGCCTGAGCCTCATGTAGCTCTCATGAGAGGAAGTGGGGATGCCGGGGATGTGTAGGGGGTCAGCAGGTATCATTCTTTACAATGATTCCAAATACTCTGGTGGGAAGTGGTTTCATGGTTTTGCAGTCTTAGGAAAAGTGTGGCACATTTCTTGAGTGGGAAACATGTTGTACCGATACCCACTTTGGACTGTCCCATCTTACAAGTTTGACCTAAGAAAAACAGTGGGAAACGGAGACGGTACAACCGTGCAGGGGAGAGATGCTTGTCTGTCCCCAAAAGGTTCTTTTTTCGACAAGGCGGTGATTGAGGTCAAGTCAGCAAGTATTTTTAAGTAACCCCTGTTTATTAGATTCCTAGTACAAAGTACCAAAGATTCCTGCAACAAAGTACCAAAAATGATGTAGCTTAAAACAACAGAAGTGTATTTCACAGTTCTGGAGGCTAGAAGTCCACAATGCGGGTGTCCGCAGGGCTGAGTTCTCTCTGACACCCATAGGGGAATGTTTCCATGCTGCTTCTTAGCTCCTGGTGCTTTGCTGGCAATGTTTGGTGTTGCCTGACTTGTAGCTGCATCTCTCCAAGCTCTGTGTCTGTCATACCGTGACACTCTCCCAGCACGTCTGTCTTTATATGGCCATCTTCTTCTTTTTTATCTTTATTGAAGTATAGTTTATTTACAATCTTGGGTTAACTTCTGCTCTACAGTGAAGTGATTCAGTTATAGACACATATACATTCTTTTTCATTTTCTTTTCCATGATGGTTTATCAGAGGATATTGAATATAGCTCCCTGTGCTGTACAGTAGGTCCTTATTGTTTATCCATTCTATGTATAGTAGTTTGCATCTGCTAACCCCAAACTCCCAATCCATCCCTCCCCCACTCCCCTCCCCCTTGGCAACTACAAGTCTGTTCTCTCTGTCTGTGACTCTGTTTCTGTTTCGTAGGTAAGTTCATTTGTGTCATATTTTAGATTCCACACATAAGTGATATCATATGGTATTTGTCTTTCTCTTTCTGACTTATTCTACCTAGTATGATAATCTCTAGTTGCATCCATGTTGCTGCAAATGGCATTATTTTGTTCTTTTTTATTTTGACCATCTTCTTATAAGGGCACCAATCATATTGGTTTAAGAGTCCATCCTGCTCCAGTATGACCTCATCTTTTTTTTTTAATTTTTATTTTTTGGCCGGGCCGCACGGCTTGCGGGATCTTAGTTCCCCAGCCAGGGATCGAACCAGTGCCCCCTGCAGTGGAAGCGCAGAGCCCTAAGCACTGGACCACCGGGGAATTCCCACTATAACCTCATCTTAACTTGACTGACTACATCTGCAATGACCCTATTTCCAATAAGATCACACTGTGAGGTCCTGGGTGTTAGGACTTCAGTGTACCTTAATTTGAGAGGGAAACAGTTCAATGCATAACCCCTTTTAAAGGCAGGACCAATGCCCAACTGTGTCATAGAACTCAGATAGGTAATGCCTGCCCTTGCAAAGTGTTGCCTTCTTTTGAAGCAAAAAAACTCAAAGGAGCGTTTCCCACACCATGGCCATGCCTATCGACTACATCACCATCCAAACCCATCATTAATTCCATAACATCTAAACACAGATCATGACTTACTTTTGTTAAAGCCGCCTACTTTCTTCTTCTCTCACGTGTTTTGGGAATAAACTTTATATGATTTTCTTAAATGGAAATCTAGGATCATTCATCATCAATTTAACTGAACCATTAAAGAAAACTACAAAATCCAAATAAAGCCATTAAATTCTCATTAGCTGTGCTTGCCTGCCAAAGGCTCTGAGATGCATTTTCTCTTGTTGTCTTTAAAAAAAAAAAAAAGACAAAGAAAAATTAAAGGAAATTAATGTCATGAGATGGTAGAGAAATGCTAGCACCAAACCTATAGGTCACCAGGACCTGTCTACGACTAAGTGAGGATTGAAAATGTTGAGTGTTCTTTAAAATGGTTTTTAAGATGTTGAGTGCTTTTTAATTTCATAACTCTATATTCCTAAAATCACTTCGCTTCCTGCCTATGGTTCACGCCCCTCATTTGGGGAACACAGCGGTGGAGATGTCAGATAGCTTGGGCTTAATCCCTGGCCCAGAATACTCCTGTGGCCACTAGTGGTGCTTGTTTAGGATACTTTTGGATTTCATAAAGATGCTAAAGTAGCAGATGGGGAAGGAATAAGGACTTGGCTTGGAGGAATAGCCGTCATCTGACCAGAGTCCAGGTAGAGATCTCACTGTGGGAACAGGATATCGCTAATGGATGGCCTCGGATGTCAGTCTGAAAAATCTGGATTTTATCCAAGCAGGAGCTATTTTTATTTCTGTGGTCCATGTGGAGCATGGCTGAAATCGTACTTGGGGATATTAATGCAATGAGTTTTCACAACACATTGGAAAGGTCGTTGGAATGACTCATCATCTTTCTTTTTTTTTTAAATTAATTTTATTTATTTTTGGCCGCGTTGGGTCTTTGTTGCTCCACGCAGGCTTTCTCTAGTTGCGGCGAGCAGGGGCTACTCTTCGTTGTAGTGCACGGGCTTCTCATTGCGGTGGCTTCTCTTGTTGCAGAGCACGGGCCTATCTAGGCGCATGGGCTTTGGTAATTGTGGCACGTGGGCTCAGTAGTTGTGGCTCGCGGGTTCTAGAGCGCAGGCTCAGTAGTTGTGGCACACGGGTTTAGTTGCTCCGTGGCATGTGGGATCTTCCCGGACCAGGGCTCGAACCCGTGTCCCCTGCATTGGCAGGCGGATTCTTAACCACTGCGCCACCAGGGAAACCCTCAAATCATCTTTTAAGGAAGTTACTCAGAACCTCCTCTAACCTGCAATGCAGTGTGCAATTTCAAACGTAAGTCAGGAGGATCACATTTCAGTGGCTTATGGTTTAACAGAAAATGGGGGATTGAGCAAAGTCTAGTGATTTAGGTGTTCGCCAATGGATGATATGGCTTATAAGGTGGTGCTAGTTATTCCTTGATTGATTTTAAATAGGGTAGTGGCATGATCAGCCCTGTGTGGTGGAGGATTTCTTTGTCCCTAGGGGGCTGCCAAAGTGGTCCAGCTGAGGAGAATGAGGCAGTATGGTGCCAGTAATGGAACAGCATGGGATTAAACCATCTCTCATGTCATTAAGGGTCTCATACCTTATTTGATGCCAGCAAGGGAAGAGCATAGGATAAACCATCCCTGATGTCACAGGGTGAGGTGAGATGCTTAACTCTGTTCTCCAGAACCCATACTCAGGCAGTGCCCCACAGAATATGATGGAATACACTTGAGTACCATCCACTGCTCCCTGTAAGCAGTACAGAGACAGGAGTTTGGTTATAAGAATATCCTATCGTACGTCTAATCACAACACGTGGCTGAGAAGAAAGGATTATGTTGTGTCAGAACATGCTTTGCCGTGACCGCTGGGTGGAACGTCACATCTGCTGCCCCTCGTAAACGCGCCCCAATGATCCTGACTATTCGTACGTTTGCTGAGATGAGGTGAACACTGGGGCTTCTTTTTATATGACCAAAGCTAACGGTTCTGACCTTACACATAGGCTTAAGTGTAGATATATCTGTGTAAATCTGTGTAAGCTGTGTAATCATTCATATTATTTTTTTTGTTGTCATATTAAATTTTTTGTTGTTGTTGTTAAGCAGAGAAAACATAATGTGGGGATGGTGTGTGTGGTAGGCATGGAAGGAAGGAAGGAAGGATAGAAGGATGGAAGGACGTTGCTAGGAGACTGTTTCAATAATCCAGGTGAGAAGACTAACCCAAAAAACAGTGCTGGGAAAGGACAGTGAAGCCAGGACATTAAGTATTAGGCTAGAAATAAGGCTGCTTGGAGAGTTTTGATAAATGAGAAGTTATGTCTGGGAAAAATTAAAACTAATCCCAAGGTTTACAAATGATTACGCAGATTTCAACTCTTTGTCACATCCAACCTCTTTGGGAATAGGTGGGAAGGCGTTGGTCCTGGCCACTCAGTAGAAATCAGGTGCCCACTGATCAAGGACCAGTGCCGTTTGGGTCCTGTGTGAGGAGAGGTGGATAAAATGGGTAGAATTAGGGTCTCTACAGAAGATATGGCTGTGAACAGTACCTTCACCATTCTGCATGGAAGGCCTCGGAGGCTCTTGGAATTCAGAGATGGGAAGGCTGTTGGCCGATAAGCCAATATGTATTGTGTAAGAAGAGCAACATATATTCCAGTATGTCGAAATACAGTTGTATAGGTCGAGTGGGTGGGATGACGTATTTTTCATTGGTTTTCAGATTCCATCTCTACTTTTGATTTTGCTCATATCTTGTGATTGATTTATATTTCAACTTTTGCTCAGTCTTTGCAAAAATCAGGAAACAGACAGGAAAGATGGGTTAGATAGAGTTGCAGTCAAAGCCTGGTTTTAAAAGTGACGTTTATTGCCCCAAAGTATTTTAAGCTCAGTGAAGGAACATCTCTACCGGTTGTATAGGATGGACTGAACACATACTTCTTGGTGCAGGGGGTAGTTTTCTTCTTAGAGGTCTAGGGACAAATGGTCAACCACGACATTGTTTTAGGGGTAAGGAAAACCTTATACCATCCAAAGGAGCATATCAGAGGGTTCACTGGTATTTTTAAAGGGATCATGTTACCCATCTCTCACAAATAAGGTGAACCACAAGACCTTGGAGACGCATTTAACCCTCCACTTCTAAGATGATATCGCAAATGAAATATGACAGGTGAAAATGTATGTGTAGGTGACGAGGAGTATGGATAGGTGTTGAGGTTTTTACTAGAGAAAGAAGGTGTGTCTGTTTCATTCTCTCCTTAATCGTTATCATCTTGAATTTTACTCATGGGAATTAGAACACGCCATGTGCTGAAGCGAAGTCTAAACAACAAGGCAGTGGTATCCCACGTAGAGATCTTACTGTCTTTGGGGCGTTTGACAAGGGGAAATGATGAGCCTTCATAAGCGCCGTGAGTTTATCTTGGTTTAAGGCTTCTGACTGTGCCTCTCCCAGAACTTTGATAGATTGTATCGGGCTAAAGCATACTTACCGGATTTTCAAAATCCTCTATTCTCTGAGAACAAAATAAATGTGTTTCCTTACCTTTCAAATGTACACCGAATTCCATAAAAAAAATCGCCAAATATCCTACATGAAAAGACACTCTCTTTCCTAGATGCCCTCTCTTCAGTAAAAGGTCAGTACAACTAAAAGACCCAATTCCGTGAAATCAGATCAATGCAAACATAGTGGGAATCCTCGCTCCCTTTCGTTGCTTTTAGAACAATAAAAATCGATGACAAGTTTCTCCATGACAGATTCCAGTTAAACAGGAATTTTCCAACAATGTATTTCAGAAGACTCAAATAAAAAAACATGAGGTGCTATCTTAAATCCAACATTTTTCGAAAACATATAAGAATATAAAAATGAATTAAAAGCAGATTATTTTAAAGTATATAAATGTTTATAAATGAACACATAAATAAGAAAGCTCATAGTATTAAGACCTATAATTTTTTATATTTTATCATCTCACTAATAGGAGCACAGCAGTTAGTGTGTACTCAGTTATGTGGTACAATTTCTTTGTCCTGCGTACCACATATATAATCATATCTACGATCATATATATACCTATGCATCTGTATATATATATGTCTGTGTGTGTATATAGTATGCAGCATGTACTGTTGTATACAGTATCCTTTTATACAGCATATACTGTACCCAGTGTGTAATATAATGTATGCACTGTGGTATACAGTATACTTTGATACAGCATATACTATATACAGTATATCGTGTACCATATATGCTATGATATACATAGTATTCTTTTATACAGTGTATACTATATACAGTGTACCATATATACTGTGGTATACAGTGGTCTACACTATACACAGTGTATAGTATACTTTGATATAGCATATACTACATACAGTATATACTGCACCATGTATGCTATGATGTACACAGTATACTTTTAAACAGTATATACTATATATAATTAACAGTGTACCATATATACTGTGGTATACAGTGGTCTATACTATACACAGTGTATAGTATACTTTGATATAGCATATACATATATACATACAATATATACTGCACCATGTATGCTATGATGTACACAGTATACTTTTAAACAGTATATACCATATATAATTAAAAGTGTACCATATATACTGTGGTATACAGTGGTCTATACTATACACAGTGTATAGTATACTTTGATATAGCATATACATATATACATACAGTATATACTGCACCATGTATGCTATGATGTACACAGTATACTTTTAAACAGTATATACCATATATAATTAACAGTGTACCATATATACAGTATATTGTTATGCAGCATACACTGTATCTAGGATATTAGTGTACCGTGTATACTGGTATACAGTATACTTTTATGTAGCATATACTATGTAGAATGTAGGGTATTAGGTATATTCTGTGGCTATATACAGTATGTTATTTATAGTCCTCTCTCGCTAGCAATTTGTAGGTATTCTAATTTATGCATTGCAGAGAGGGATACTATTTATTGAGCTCTTACTACATGCCAGGAATATTGTAGTTATTATTTAACCTTTCTCACTTCCTTTCCATCCCAGTATTCTTATCCACTTTATAGATGAGGCTAAGAGAGGCTTAAGGATTTGCTCAAGATTTCACAGCTTGTAAAGAGGGAGAGATGCAGAACTTAATGTATGGAGATGATTTTGACAGCCTCAGACTGAGGGCTAAAGTCCTTCCTTTGGCAGATGCATCTGTTGGTCAAGTGCATCGTTTGCATCCTGCACACTACTTGGGAATGTCTGTAGTCTTTAGGTCTTCCAGTGGGACCTTCTGGTTCCCCAGCCTTCTGATACATGAGCAAACAGGCAGTGGCTGAAGGCAGCTTCATAAAAGTGTTACGTGGAAAATAGAAGTTAGAGCACCTGGAGCAATAGATCTAAGCAAACTGGGTCTGCACATCATGTCTGAATGTTCAGTGTCAACTAGGTGCCATTATATCATGCGTGATCTCAAATTTTCCAAACCAGCACACATTAAGATGAAACCTGTTTTACAGCTCACTTTACCAAGCCTAAAAAAAAATGGAAGAAATGAGAATATATCTTTGTGGGGCGGGGGGAGGTTGTTTGTTATCTTAAAAGAGTTAGTTGCAAAGATGTTTCAAGTACCATGTTTTGTGGAGAATCTTTCCATTTTGGTGATTCTCCTTCTGCCTGTGTCCACTTATGTAAATCATAGGAGACTTCTTAGGTTCATAGTTTCCATGCACACTTGAAATCTATAAAAAACCCTCAATTTCTTGCATCGTGTGGTACTTTTCCTAAAACCCTTAACTCTGCATATCTAAAACCACCGTCTGACCAAACTTCTTAAATCAACGGAATGTTGTTTGATCTTTACGTGACTCAGTCTTCAGAAGGTTTCCAAGTACATACATATTTCTCTTTCTGAGAGAGAACGAACAATTGATGCATAATTCTATTTATTAACATCTTGTAATTACAAAAGCCAGTTTTTATTTGATTTTTAACATACATTTTAGTTGTAACCACAGTATCTATTCATTTACCTAAGAAGCAATTCTTGAGGAAGAAAGAGAATGGCACAAATTTTGGACCATAGCCTCTAAATCAGGATTTCTCAGCCTCAATACTACTGACACCTGGGACCAGTTACTTCTCTGCTGTGGAGGGGCTGTCCTGTGCCCTGGAGCATATTTAACAGTCACCCTGGCATCTACCCATTCATGGCACCACCCTTCACTTATAACAACCAAAAAACATCTCCAGATGTTACCAGATGCCCTCTTGGGGGCAAATCACCCTGGTTGAGATTTCTGACTCAAAAGTAGTTAAACTTGAAATGCAAGACACATTTTTGGTTTCCTTCTTTATCATGGAAGATAATTGGATGCATTTAAAAAGTGTAGAAGTGTTATGAAAATGCTATCATACTGCCATCAGGAATTATTTTTAAAATAAAGGTAAGGGGATTTTAAAGAAAAGGCAAAATGGTAGCGCATCGGGATTAAAACATCATGTATTTGTTGCTACTTGAGTACTTTGTGCATATCAATAAACACATGAGATTATCTGATTGTAATTTCATTGTATTTGATTAAAATTTACTTGGGAAATGTGGAAGAGTGTGACCTTTCTCTTTTTTTCTCCCTTCTGTCCCCAGTGATCCTAATCAGCCAGTTCCTCAGGACACCAAGTTCATTCACACAAAACCCAATCGCTTTGAGGAAGTGGCCTGGTCCAAGTATAACCCCAAAGACCAGCTCTATCTGCATATTGGCTTGAAACCCAGAGTGAGGGACCATTACCGAGCCACAAAAGTGGCTTTCTGGTTGGAACTCGTGCCTCACTTGCACAACTTGAATGAGATATTCCAGTATGTGTCCACAACCACAAAGGTTCCTCCTCCGGACATGACCTCCTTTCCCTACGGAACTCGGCGATCTCCTGCCAAGATATGGCCCACGACCAAACGCCCGGCGATCACTCCTGCCAACAACCCCAAACACTCCAAGGACCCTCATAAAACGGGGCCCGAGGACACCACTGTCCTCATCGAAACCAAACGGGATTATTCCACTGAGTTGAGCGTCACCATTGCCGTGGGGGCATCCTTACTCTTCCTTAACATCTTGGCGTTCGCGGCGCTGTACTATAAGAAGGACAAGAGGCGCCATGAGACACACAGGCGCCCCAGTCCCCAGAGAAATACCACGAATGACATTGCTCACATCCAGAACGAAGAGATCATGTCCCTGCAGATGAAACAGTTGGAGCATGATCACGAGTGTGAGTCCCTGCAGGCTCATGACACGCTGAGGCTCACCTGCCCTCCAGACTACACCCTCACGCTGCGCAGGTCCCCTGATGACATCCCACTTATGACACCAAATACCATCACTATGATTCCCAACACACTGACGGGGATGCAGCCTTTGCACACGTTCAATACCTTCAGTGGAGGACAAAACAGTACAAATTTACCCCACGGGCATTCAACCACTAGAGTATAGCTTTGCCGTCTTCTTCCCCTCCCTCTGCGCCTCCCCTCAGCCACATCGAAGAGAGAAAGAAAGAAGCAACATCTCCAAACAAGGAATGTTTGGCTTAAGACAAAACAAAACAAAACAAAACAAAAGCAAAAGGGCAGCCACTGTGTCCTTGCAGACCCTTTCCATTGGCGTTTCCCAGTACAACGAGATCAACTTCTGACCCTACGAAATGTGAAACGTATACATTGCTGTTACAATACTGCTTTAAGATCTCCACCATCTGGCAAACTTTAGTGCAACTAGGACATCGAAGTTTCAAGGACCTGGATGTTTCCAATGTGACCATAGAAGCTGACACTTCTGGAACTCAGCCGAGGGCACATTTTTTTTTTTTTTAATTACAATTGAAATAAATAAAAGTTCTTTTTGTGCCATACAACAGATGGCTCTACTTAAGTGAAGAAAGAATCTGTGGGCTTTTACCCAGCATATGGAGGTGTAATCCAGAGAGAAGGAAAAGTAGAATTTTATTATTAAAATAAAAGAACTGACTATGCAGTTACATACGTAGAGTTCTGTGCAAAGAGATGTTTTGCGAGCCTGAACTCTATTTAAGAAACTTTGTAAAAATAAAAATAAAAAAATGTATATAGCTGTGCGTTTAAACAAACACACACAGAGAGAAAAACAGAAAGAAAAACAAAAACAACAACAAAAAAAGCTTTTATTGGTGTTTTCAGTTTGAAAGAGCTTTTAGCGAGATTGTGCTTTCCATTGTGGTCTGTATGTATATAAATCGATATATACATTAGTCATATCACCTCTGTCTCCTCCAGGACAAAGGAGGATTTTCTTCTTAATTCCTTGTGGCCAACAGACATGGGGTTTCCTAACGTGTTTCATTTGTAGGAGGATGTGATTGTCACACAGCGGACCTAGACCGTCTGTTCGACTAGGCTCTCTCTCCCCTTTTTGGGCTGGAAAGTGCATGCGACAGCATTCTTAGGAGACCGTTATTTTTAGGAAAACTTTTATTTTTGTGTGTTAAGGCTTCATGAAGTTGCAACCCCAGGATGGATCCCCAGCGTGGAGCCTATTTAAAGCTTGTTGAATTAGAAACACGCACGCACATGCAGAGTGACCGCGGGGGAAAAACAGAATACAAGTCTCGTTCTGTAGTTCTGGTTCTTTGAATCTGTTGAGGAAGAGTTGCTTCCCATCCCAGGGTCCTGCCAAAAAGGAAAAGAAAGCTTGTCTTTGGTAGGGCCAAGCTCTGCTGAGTCAATACAGCTCTGTATTCCCTAGCAGCTGCAGAAGGGTTTGGCTGATGAAATACCTGCTCAGCTTAGCTAATCAGATTGAAAGAGGGCATGTGTCTTTCCTTTCTGTTTAAGCAGTAAGTCCCTTATTTATCAGTAAGCAGGGATTTTTATTTTTTATATCATTTATGGGATAAAACATATGCTTGTCTGAAACTATTACCATTTGTGGATTTGTGTATCAGTCACTGATCCATGAGTATTACAGAGAGAAAACAAACAAAAGGATAGAACATTAAAAGTGCTTTGCATGGGTTTTCCGGGAAGTTAGGATGGCTTCACTGTCAAGATAACACACAGAAATATTCAGTCATTTTAAATTGGTGAGACAGGGATGAGAAGTTTGTCCCTCTGACACTTTGTCATTTTCTCATCGTCCTTTTAATTTTCCTGAAGGAATCTTTTGCAAGTGTCCTAAAGTGGAAGGAAAAAAAATCGTAACCATGGTGACTTTATGTTTTGTCTTTCAAAATTATATTGCAACACCAGGAAATAGTAGCCAAAGATATTTGAAGATGTCTCTGGGCATGGTTCTCATGGAAACCCAGCACTATATGTCTTTGCCAAGGTGGACATTCTCCACAAAGATAGTCCAAATTCCTTGTCTCTTTGTATAATCTTTGATTATTGAACCCCTAAACTAAAACTGTAGCAATGTCTATCAAAGTGTTTGAAAATGGCCCCCCTAGAAAAAGAGAGTGCTTTTAAAAATGCATACAGATCGTCCAATAAATTCTGTTGTTCATCTTGGTTTAAATTTAAGAGTGATTCTCTGTGTATACATAGGTGAAATATAACCCCAACTTTGCATAGAGAGAAGCATCACTCCTGCAGCTAGAGGTGTCATGGGTACGATTTTTGTTCATCATTTTTGAAAGCTATTGTCAGGCCATTTCTGCAAGCTGCGCATTACCCCAGCTAAGCTACGACGAATAGGCTCTCCAGGGAACTACGAAGGACGTGATGCTTGGCACCAGTGTGGGTCCGGTATGTTTGTAATGTGAATTCCAGTATTTGTTTAGTATTTCCAATTGTCTTCTGCTAGCAATATGCACAGTAATGTATCAGGCTTGTGACATTTGGATAAGGAAAAAAAAAAAAAAAGAGTTCTCGTTAAGTGAATAACTTTAGCTTTTACAAAGGGTTATGATCAAAAGCAATTTAATACACCTTAAATGATATTTCTACATGGAAAGAAGTTATAGAATCTTCATAGAGTTCTATGAGAATAAAATATACTTGCTATCTATAAAAAAGAGAAAAAAAAAAAACATAAGTTAGAAAAAAACTTTCCTAGGCTTTTATTCTTGACCTTCACTGGCACGCAGGGTTTAATGGTTTCTTGGATTATTATTTTGCGATTTTGTTTTTGATTTTGCCTTAAGTAATGATAGAAGATATATATGGCTGGACACATATGTATAAACTTTTCAGCAGCATTTTTAATAATAAAATATCACAGTATTTTCTAATGCTTTGTGCAAATAATTACGCGTCCATTCTTTTTTTTGTAGGTGGCCTATCATATTTATTTATTTTTCCTTCTTTAGATGTCTTTTTCACTTTAAAAACTAAGCGATACATCTGACGTAGGTGATAAACGGCACACTCAGTTGGTAATAGGTCAGTTTCTTGTGGTTCGTCCTCATGAACAGGTTTTGTGTCCCCGCTAGGGATTTTCTTCTGGCCTGACATTGGAGAAAGGCACTCTGGTTGGTGAAACTCATAACAAGAGGATGTTTCCTGAAATGGAACCCTTGGGTTTATCAAGTTCAGCCACTGCTGCTTCTTATGTTGCTGGGTTTTGAGTTGTGTTTGTTGTCATGCCTTAAATCTTTCTGGTAGCCTTATTTGAGTAAATCTCTGACAGCAAGTAATTCATTTGAATACAACTGGAGAGGCAGAAAATTACTACCATACTGATGCGACCTAACTTGTCCAGTCCTCACATGCACCTGGTCATTCCTTATCTTAACAGTCACGATAGCCCTAAGGGGCAGGCACCTGTATTACTTCTATTTTAGAACTGAAGATGTTGAGAATCAGAAACATTAAGCTACAAGGCAGCAGCAGAACTCAGATTCAAAGGAAGATCGTGTGTTCAGAGCCCAAACTCTTCACCAATGAAGGATGCAGCAAAAATTTCTAACTCAAGTTCATGAATGTCATGATAATATTAGCTAATTATCAGGTAAAGGAAAACAGCAAAGACTGTGACTGCTGTATTCGAACTCTGAATTTTTTTTTACATGTTGGGCTCAGGTCGTTTGCTGAATGTGACGTACACAGGATATATATATACACACGTATATACACATATATACATATTTATATATTACATACAAATAAATATTTTAATATATTGTGTATAATTTAATTTTAATAAATATATTTATAAAGTATAATTATATTATATTTATATACATATATAATAGCTATACTATATGAAGCATTTGTATATAAAATAATACATAATATATCATACCATATGTGTGATATAATATGTAATATATATTTTATATATTTAAAACATATACATTTTATATTACACATATATTGCAGATATGTATATATATCATGTTATATATACATATAATTCTAGTGCATATGAGTTATATTATCTAATACAAAATATGTGTTTACATATAAGTAAATAAGTAACTATTTTATAAATATGTAAATAATATTTCATGAATACATAAACATGTCATATCTATTTAATGGAAAAGCCATTTTCGTGGATTTAAGATTAGATCTCTAGCCAATTTTTGAAATAGGGGAGTCATTCCTTTTTTCACCATTTGATTCATTCTGAATGGCCATTCTGAATAACTCAACGAATGGTAAAAATGTATGCATTCATTCATTCATCTATTCTTTCTGCAAATGTTTACCAAGCTTCTCCATCACCCCAGCTCTGTGCTGGGGCTTCTGTTAAAAATGAAAGAAGAAGCTCTCTCCATCCTAGGACTCCAAACGGAGAGCAGGGAGGTACAGCCAGGAAGCAGCAGGAGGTGCTGGAGATGGTACCCAGGGTGCCAGTGGGAGTCTAGACACAGACCCTTAACCTTGTCTGCAAGGGGCGGGCAGTGCTCTGTAGGAAGCTACCCCAAACCACATCCCTCCAAGTATGTGGGCATCCACGCAGACAAACCAATGATGGTGGATGCTTCGGGAGGGCAGAACTCCACACCCTCAAAGTGAGAAGACTCGGGAAGTTTGGGGAACCATGGCTTTTTTCTGTCCTGGCTGAAAAATAGAAGGTGTCACCGGGAAAGGTGTGGGGAAGGAGGGGAGTAGCATCCAGCTGATAACATGCCTCAAGTCACAAGGCATGCCGTGTGCACCTTGTCCTGAATTCAAGCAGCAGACGGTAAAAGATGGCTTAAAAGTGGTGTGAGCATATTTGCGTTTTTTTGTTTGTTTTTTGTGGTACGCGGGCCTCTCACTGTTGCGGTCTCTCCCGTTGCGGAGCACAGGTTCCGGACGCGCAGGCTCAGGCCATGGGTCACGGGCCCAGCCGCTCCGCGGCACGCGGGATCTTCCCGGACCGGGGCACGAACCCGAGTCCCCTGCATCGGCAGGCGGACTGTCAACCACTGCGCCACCAGGGAAGCCCATATTTGCGATTTTTATCAGTGCTTCTCACACGTTGTTCCAAGGATGTGCTGACATCAGGCTACAGGGCGGGTTCTGATCCAGCAGGGATTGCGTGGGCTAGAGTTTCTGCATCTCCAACAAGCCTGCAAAATGATGCCAGTGTTTCTGGTTCCCAATTATCCCCAACTCTTTTGGGGAGCAAGATTCGAGAGTGTTCCCTCCAGAAGCAGTTGTGGGGATGGTGTGAATGTGGTGGGATGGCGCTGGGTGCAGTGAAAGCAGCTGGGTAAGCAGATAGAGCAGGCTGTTTGATAATTACTATCATCCTGTCAGGGGAGGTGGGGACACAGTAGAAATGATAAACCCAAAAAACAGATAGATAGATAGATAGATAGATAGATAGATAGATAGATAGATGATAGATAGATTGAATAGATGATTGATGGACAGATATAAAGGATGAACAGTTGGATGAATGGATGGATACAGATACATAGATTGTAGATAGATAAACATATATGAATGCTAGATGGATAATGATTTATTAATATAGAGACGGATATGGATGGATGGATACATAGACACACAGATGGTAGAGGTGATAGATGTGAGTAGGTAGATAGGTAGATACAAATAGATGATAGTTGAGATAGATGATAGGTAGAGAGATGGATAGATAGATGTAAAGAAAGGAGGGAGGGATGGAAGGGAAGGAAGGAAGAGAGAGGAAGAAAGATGGGATAGGTAGGTAGGTAGGTAGATAGGTAGATAGATAGATAGATGGATAGATAGATGGATAGATAGATGGAATAGTTTTAGAGTTGCATGTTCCAGAAGTGATAAAGCACCACCATCAGAGATGACCAAGCCCATCTTGGTGGAGTTGAGTAACTTACACGCAAGGATGGTGAGTCATCTGGGTCATTTTTCGTGGTTGCACACTGTCCTTGTTTCCATCTTATCCCCACATGCTTGCGGACGACTTTTATCTCCTGGTACCTCAAATTATCTTTATGCAGTGGGGCCCACCCCACTTAGCCATTATCAGGCTAGTTACTAGCAGTCAGATGGCAGAGGTGTTTTTTCTTTCCCACAACTTCCTCCAAATGTATTCATCACCTCCCCTTTTCTGGGCTGCCTGATTAGAAAAAAAATTAAAAATTAGATTCTGCTAAGGGAGGAAAGTGGTACTTTCTCGGCAGGTTCTTATTATCTTATTTAAAGAAATGGATATATAGGGGCTCCCCTGGTAGCGCAGCGGTTAAGAATCCACCTGCCAATGCAGGGAACATGGGTTCGAGCCCTGGTCTGGGAAGATCCCACATGCCGCGGAGCAAGTAAGCCCATGTGCCGCAACTACTGAGCCTGCGCTCTAGAGCCCACGAGCCACAACTACTGAGCCCATGTGCCACAACTACTGAAGCCCGCGCTCCTAGAGCCCGTGCTCCACAACGAAGAGCAGCCCCCGCTCGCCGCAACTAGAGAAACCCCGCATGCAGCAACGAAGACCCAACGCAGCCAAAACTAAATAAGTAAAATAAATAAATTTTTAAAAAAGAAATGGATATATAGAGAACGGTCTTTTACATGTCTACCTTTCTATAAGGTGACTACCAGCCCAAATACTTGCAAAACCTACAAATAACTGTGTTTTCTCAAGGCAAGAGCTTTAGGGAAAACAGGGGAGATTGAGGGCTCTTCCACATTTGGCTGAAAGGGAGGTCTTCAGACTAGTTCCTAAGGTCATGAGCTTCTAATAGGGTGGGACTGAGAGCTGCTGGAAACAGAAGAATGTCCACGGGGTTCAGCTGGGAGAAGCCCAGAAAGGAAAATTATTCTAAGCGCTTCGTCCCAGGGACCAGTAGAGAACTGTGCACTTGGGTGTTTCCACTGATGTAGGAGGGAAATGGGGAGATGAATTTCTGGAGCCCCAAAATACAGCCCTAAAAAATGTCCCATAAAACTGGGAATTTAGATGGTGCCTCATTCCAAATATTAGAAGCATTATTACGCTTCAGTGGTAACATCTGTCAAATCTTTACGATTTGTTTGTGAACACAGCTTGAAAACAGATATCTCAAGGCATTCCGTATTATTGAATTTTAGGTATTGTCAGGGTTTATCTTAGGGATTGTTTAGGTATTATTTTAGCTGTTACATAGACAATGTTGAAATTGCTTTTTCCAAGTTATGACAGCCAAAGTATGTAACACTTCCGGAGGAAATGCACCACTTACAGAGAAACTCTTACAGCAAGTGCTTAGAGATGTTTTAAATTATTGGGTCAACGGTTTAAAGAGCAATTACAGGCAGACCTCATTTTATTGCACAAATTGAGGGTTTGCGGCGACCCTGCCTATCACTGTCTATAAGTCTGTAGACAGTCTATAACTCTATCAGTGTCGTTTTTCCAACTGCATTTGCTCACTTGGGGTCTGTGTCACATTTTGATAACTCTCGAAATATTTCAAACGTCTTCATTATTATATTTGTGATGGTGTCTGTGATCAGTGATCTTTGGTGTTACTGCTATGACTTGCTGAAGGCTCAGAGGATGGTGAGAAGTTTTTAGCAATATTTTAAAATTAAGGCCTCTACATTGTGGTTTTTCTTTTTAGACGTAATGCTATTGCACACTTAATAGACTACAGTATAGTGTAAACGTCACTTTTACATGCACTGGGAAACCCAGAAAAACTCTTGTAACTCGCTTTATT